TTTATCCCTATTATTGAGTAACAAGTATTATGATTAATTATTCGCATAAAAAGATAATTTCAGTTATTTGTACAATTCACAACATACCAAATTCCATTTCTAAATCATGTCGTTTTTCATTAGAATTTTCTCTAGCTAGGTTTTAAATTCGTTCTTTGAATTGATTATGATTTCGCATAGGTAGATTATTAGAATCATATGTTTCATGATCCTCCTTTCCTTTAGGTGATATAGTTGGAAAATAAACATGATTTATATAAATACCACGGATATTACAATATCTACACCCTTTATAAGAATTATGCCCAGTAAGACACATGAGTTTTGTTAATCCCAGAGTATCACCTGACCACGATAAAACATATGCTTATAATAAAAAAGTCTCTTTTTTCAATCCATCATAACAATAGATTCCATCTAATTTGCAAAATTAAATGTTAATATTTTAATATTATTTGTTTTTAAGAACAACATCAAAAACAATAATTAATATACCTTCTAAACCTTTAATTCATGTACTATCGAATACATGAATGAGTTGAAATCTTTAGGTTCTTTTGGTCCTGTAATGATTGCAGTTATCATAATATTATCCTTTTTAACTTGATTTTCTGGACAAACATTTGCATTAATCATGATAACTATTCAACAATCATCTGTTTTCTGCCGGAAAATTTGATATCCGTCTATTGAGCCAGTCAATGCCACGTCTCGTTCATCCTGAAAAAATCCATTGGATAAAAGTTTTTGATACCGTTCTCCATCAAATATATCTCCAATTTTTCCATCTGAGCTGAAATCTTGATGATAAGTATAACTTGCACGATACCTTAATTCATTAGAACGTTCTGGATCTTTGTATTGAATAATGAGCCAGTCTTTAATTGAAAAATATGCTACCTGGCGGCGTGAAATACATTTTTCACTTTTTGTATTATGAAACCTTGGTTCATTACAAAAATCACATTGGATATGATGCTTATATTGTTTAGTATAAGCACAACAGGAATTAATACACATATCAATCCATGTTGGCTCTAATTTCACAATAGATTTTAGTGTCTTCTTGATTTTATATTGACTTATATCATCTCCATTGATCGCTAGCATTATTTGTTGAAAGGTTTCATCTGTCAAATTGCAACTTGATTTAACTTTGAATAACCTCAGAACACATGCCATTTCATTTGATAATTTTATATTATCTTCATTATCTATATTTAACCAAATTGAAGCAATTTATTAGAATATCTATTAAAATTGATTGACTATTTAGTTTCATACCATTATTATCAAAAAAAGATTCATTTGAATCAGAAAAATCATTAATACTGGGGCTCAATGATAATTCTTCATCTATACTAGAATGCTTAGAACTTGAACTTGTATAACTATCGTTAAAAGGTAGAGGTGAATTGGTTATATCGTCGAATGAAGATTCACTTGATGTTTTATCTTCGGATCTTAGATAAACTTATATTTAGTATTATTATTGAAAAAATCATTTAAACTTATATAATATTCTAATACCTTTTTAAAAATTCGGTTAAAGTGTCATCGAACATAGCAGATTCAATACCCTTTAGCGACTCAAGATATTCACTTTCAGAAGTAGAAGTAAGCATTGAACTGGAATCAGTATCAGAACTTGAACTCAAATTCGAAACATTTGCTTCATTTGCTTGTATATAATCATGATTACAGTGTCTGGTTCTGGTAGATTTGGGAATTAACATTCCAACATTTCATTTTACATCTTTTTGTCGACACTTTGAACAAGTGCAAAGAACATTTGTTGGCTTATATTTCACCATTTGAAAAGATTAAAAATGAATATTTTGCA